CTTTTCATCTTTTGGCACTCCAGTCAGCTGGTACCCCCCAGTTGATGCCATCTGGTGACTTCTACCAAGGGCTGTACGCGGATATGTGACTTCTACCCAACCCTATTTTAAATACTTCGAGGGATTTTTACCAATTTTTGAATTTTTTCTTCCCTTTTGTCTTTAACATAAATTAAAATATTTTCCCTATCATTTAAAAATATTTTCCATTGGATTTTACTGAACAGTATAATTGTTTAAATTAGTAATACATTTTAAGAATCCTAATAATACAATCATTTACACTATTTACCTTTAAAAATATTTTGGACCTTTCTATTTTACCTTAGAAATTATTTAAATATATATTAATTACTCAATATCTCTCTATTTCCCTGGGTTCGTTTATTTTTTTATTTTATTTTTTTCCTCCCTGAAGTCACATCGTCCAATGCGTACGGCATAAGCCTTGGTCAGAACCTTTTCCCTCACTCCAATCTTTGTTCAGAGTTCTATCAAACATGATTAAATATTTCAATTTATAATTAAAAGAAATTTAAAATATATTATATTTTTAAAACTTTTCTGTAACATGTTACGAAAATTATTTTAAACCTAAAACACAATCATGTTTGTTAGAATTATGGTCATAGATTCGGCAGAACTGATTTATATTTCATACTATGTCGGTTTCACTCCTAATCTACGCAGAGTAATTTACAGAACTATTTTTCTTTTGTTCTAAAATATTTTTTTATTTGTCCTGCGTAGATTTGTAGTGAGACTTGTCCCTTCCCTCTATATTTATTTTTTTGCAGTATATTATTTTTGGGGTAGTATATATTTTATTTTTGGGGCAGTAGATTTATTTTTGTTTTTGGGGTTGTAGATATATTTTTGGGGCAGTAGATTTATTTTATTTTTGGGGCAGTAGATGTATTTTTATTTTTGGGGTAGTAGTTTATTGGTTTTGGGGCAGTAAATTCATGTTTTTTCTTTCATTTATCTCTATTTCTCTTATATATCATTTTCTTCTTCTTCTTCTTCTTCTATTTTTCTCCTCTCCTCTCCTCATCTCTTTTGCGTTTTTGAATCTATATTTTAGATATTTTGGGTTTATAATTAAATTTTAATATATTTTTAATAAATATGCCTTCAAAAGATCGTCAAAAGCGCAAAAATCGTCGGCTAAGACATTTAGCTGACCCTAACCCAAACTGCTCTCTTCAGAGCACTGATCAGGATGTCCAACCAGAGCATTCTGATCAGAATCTTGATCTGGGAAACCAAAACTGCTCTCTTCAGAGCAATATATCTCTCAACCCGCTTCAGGGTGGTGAATCATCTTCTCTTCCTTCTTCTCTTCATGATCATTCTTTTCATTTTAACTTTGATAATGTAAATATTTTTGATGCAACTGTTGACCCGGGTCCTCCTCTTACTCCAACAACCCCACTCACCCCTTTTTCCCTTACTTCCGAGCAGACCTGGGCGAAACTCAAAATTTTTTTCTGACGAAACGAAACGAAACAAAATTTTTTAAAAATCGTTTCGTTAACGAAACGAAACAACCAAAATCTTACGAAACGAAACGAAACAAAACGAAACATTTTAATATTCAAAAAATTTTCAAAACTGCATTTATTTCGCAATTATTCGACCTCATATACTTTATTAGTCGCCTATGACTCATAAATGATTTAGTTATTGGTTTATTTACAACAATTGTGTCCCATAAGCCAGGTCCGTAGCAAGGAAAATTTTCGGGGAAGGGGGGGGGGGATCAATCGTTTTCGGAGCCGAATTTTTGGCGACGCTTTTTTTAAATTTAAAATTGAATATTTTTCAACTAAAATTTTATTTTAAGCGCCGCAGACGAAAAATTTTAAAATTTTGAAAAAAATTTTAAAATTTTCAATTATAAATGGATTTGGGGAAATAACAGAGGTATTGAGGGAATTTAGGATTAACAGAGTTATCGATGTGAGTAATGAGTTATTTGGGGAATTAATAGAGACATAGGGTATTATTTTACATTTAAAATTGGTGGATTAAGGGCTACGGGTTGGGAATTACAAGAGATATTGAGGGATTTATTGATTAATCCCCTATATCCCCTCTAATCCCAAAATCCTTCAAGGGCGTATCCAGGGGGTTAGCTTCAGGGGGGCATGTGAGTTTTTACAATTGTTTACAACTCTTTCTCTCTTAGCGCCGCAGGCGAAAATTTTGTAAATTTTGAAGGTCCTTAAGCTAGATTTCTTCCATTTCCTGCGCCGCAGGCGAAACTTTTGAGAATTTTAGAAGGCCGTAGGCCAAAAAATTAACTTTTTCAGCGCCGCAGGCGAGAATTTTGACAATTTGGGAAGGCCAAGCAGCCGAAATTCTTCTTTTTTTCAGCGCCGCAGGCGAAAATTTTTTTAATTTTCAATAAAAAATGGTAAATTTTATAGATTTTGGCCTTAGTTTGGGCTTAAAAAATTGTTTCGTTTCGTTGAAAAATCACAGGTGTTTCGTAACGAAACGAAACGAAACAAATTAAAAAGTGTTTCGTGACGAAACGAAACGATACTCAAAAAAACCCACGAAACATACGAAACAACGAAACGAAACGAAACGTTTCGCCCACGTCTGCTTCCGAGGCCGTTGCGCCAAGGAAACAGAGGAAGACTAGAGAGTCCTCTGTTGACACTGAAAGTTTATTGTCCTCAATTGATTCTTCGTCTGTTTTTTCTTCCCGTGCATCCTCTCCAAATAATTCTATTGCCACTAAACGTGGTCGCCCTAAAAAGAAAACGAGAGGAACCACGGGAAGACCCAAGAAACAACCTCAACCTCCTCAACCACCTCAACCACCCCAGGTTCCCATGGTTCCCACTATTAATTTTGAAAATTTACCTTTACTTAATTTTGCAACCCAAAAAACTAATGACCCCGGGGCAATTTGTAATAGGGCTTTCATGGAACTTCGTGATGAAGATAATGATAGGGCTCCCCTTCGTATAGAAACACTCTGGAATAATTTAACAGAGTTTTTCGATGGCTCTGAAATCTATGGATTTCTCTGCTATTTGTCCCGACATTGCCATAGATACACCGTTGTAGTTGACTCAAATGTCATTATTCCTCTTCTTATGAATCAGAATGTCCAAGACATTCCAGAGGAAGATTTCGTAGACCGGTGCTATGGTTTTATCCCAGGCCAAGTGCCTGAGATAATCCTTTTCCCCCTTAACTTCCCAAATCACTGGACCTTAGTAGTTTGGGATGCCTCTGATAATAGAGGATTTTTTATTGATTCCCTCTTTTTCCCCCTTCAATCACGATTGCATGGTGATCAAAGGATTCCTATTATTCATTCTTATATTAATCGTATGACTAATATTCCTATTAATAATATTCATATTAACGACTATCCCACTAATTTATATACCCGCCAAACTGATGGGAACAGTTGTGGGTACTTTACCTGTTTATATGCCGAAGCATGGCTTTTTAACAATCGTAATCTTATTTTTAATAATCTTAATATTAATACCGAAAAACGTAGAATACTTTGGCACGTTAATAACCTTTTTAATGGGGATAATTTTGAGTACCACCCTCGCCTTCAACATGTCATCGAACATGTAGCACCCCCTCAACATGTCATCGAACATGTAATTCCCGACGAAGGGGTGGTTGTACCCAACTATCCCTTTGTGTTCTTAGAACCCGACCCTCCCTCCAAAAATTTGCGCCGTTCCGAGCGTATTAAGTCCAAGAAGGATGCTACACCAGCACCTTCTTCCGTTACTTCCCCACCACCTTCCTCCTCATCCAACCCGATTACCAGTCGTTGTACTCGTAATCACCCCTTATGGCCCTGTGCTGATGTTCGATCCCAGCATACTACAGATTATTATGACTCGGGCAACCTCGGGGATTCTATTTGTTATTATTGTTGGGCTTTATTATTTAATTCCGAAGTTAACAATGAACATAAAAGAACATTCAAACGGGTTACCTCCTCCTTCTGTTGTAAATGTGGCAAAGTTACCCTCCCAGCCTACACTGAACATCCCCCATTATTAAAAAACTTATTAAGATCTGATACCCCTCAATCTAAGGAATTTCTTAAGAATGAAAATATTTATAATAGTTTATTAGCCTTTGCCTCCATTTCCGTTGGGCACCAAGATTCCTCCCATCATGGTAGTGTTTGTTTTATGTTAAATGGAGAGTTTTCTCGCCGTATTAGTTCAATGTTCCCGGGCCCTCTTACCCCTTCCTTTTCTCAATTGTATATTCTGGATGCTAATGAAGCTCTGGATATACGTACCCAAAACACCCAATATGGGGGAGATCGTGTAAATAAGAAAACTCTCCAGGACTTAGACACCCTCCTTAGGACCACCCATCCCTTTGCAATTAATTTTAAAAACTTTCATACTCAGTATGAAAGCATCCTGCAACAGGATGGCCCCGATGCTGTGAGAAAATTTCGATTTACTCTTCTGGAGGAGCGAAATGTGCCTACAGCTATTAGAGATCCAAGAGACCATCCTCGTCAAGTAAATTTACCTGACGAGAAAGCAATGTTCTCTATTTGGACTGAGTCCACTGACCCTCCTTTATTAAAAGGTATTTATATTACTGATCTTCAAGGATCTTTATTTGAAATTCCCGCTTATCACCCTACCACAGACACCCTTACTTATCCACTGTTATTTCCTAATGGGGATGATGGGTTCCATGAAAAATACCCTTTTAACACTAATAAAATTCCTCCCAAATCAATTAAGGACCACTCGGAGGATTTAAGATCCGATGATGAGCTTGAAGAACCCACTACCTCTAAAAAATGGATCTCCCTCCGGGATTATATTCGATATCGTCTTGCTATTCGCAAGGACGAGCCCCTGCACAACATTTGGAGTGCAGGTGGTGGCCTTTCTCAAAAATTCACTCTTGACTACTCAGCTCGAATTGATGCTGAAGTAGCAAGTTTCTTACGCCAGCCCCGATTTAACCTTCTTAAGACTGTCCCCCCAACAATTCTTAAACACTTGGCTAATGACGGCCGACTGAAATCAGTCGACGACATTACAAGTGTAGTATTCTTTCGTAGATATCATCCTGGGACCCGGCCCTACTTCCAAGACATGTTTTACGATGCCACAACAATTATGTCTCGCACGAGACAAAAGGGTTGTGCATCCTTCATGTTGACATTTACTTCCAATCCCAACTGGCCCGAAATTAAACGTAACTTCCTCCATAAAAACCAAAAATTAGTTGACCGTTTTGATGTAATGTGTAGAGTCTATGAAGATAAGAAAAGAAAATTAACCGACCTTATTAATAATAAACACATTTTGGGGAAAATACTCGGTTATGCCCAAAGCCGTGAATTTCAAAAAAGAATCGGCGGCCCCCATCTTCATAGAGTCTACACAACTGACTTAGAAGCCACCCCCGAAAATATTTCTAATATAATCTGGGCCCACATTCCTCCCAACCCACCCGATTCAGATACTTCTGATTGGGCGAACTTTCTTCGGAAAGTTCGTGACCTCATTCCTAAATTCCAAGTCCATGACTGTGGTTCTCACTGCAGAGGGCATGATGGGCGATGTATGAAGCATTTCCCAAAGGCCTTCTCCAGGCAGACCATTATACACGCAAATAGACCCGCGGAATATTATCGTCCCAGTCCTGAAGATGGTGGTGAAGTCCTTAGTGTTCCACGCGGACAAGCCATCATCAAATACGATAATTCTCGTATTGTCCCCTATAATCCTTTCATAATGGTTATGTTCCAATCCCACCATAACTTGGAACTTGCCTACGGTCAAACTGATAACCTTAAATATGCCCTAAAGTACCCCTTCAAAGGCCCAAGTTTTTCTTATATTAAAAATACAGCCGGCACTATTAATATAGATGAACCCGCCCAATATGCCAAGATGCTTTATCGAAGTCCAGCTGAGGCATTTTCTCGAATCCAATCATATAAATATGCTGACCTTTCCCATGCAGTAATCCCCCTTTCTATCCATTTACCCGGTAACCAACCTGTTTTTATGACTCCCGCTTCCCGTAATCAAATTATAGCTGATGTTGGCCAGGGCAAATACCCGGAATCCAAATTAACTGCTTATTGGAAATTATGGGCTAAGGATAACAATGTTAAAAATATTCTATTTGAAAATCTCCCCGAAACATATGCCTTTCATGACGATACTAAAACTTGGGAACCCCGCAAACATTCCACTGTAAAAGGTCAGCCTGTTTTAGGACGCATTTATACTGTTTCCCCCCGTGAGGACCCTGAAAAATTCGCCCTTTACGTTCTTACTAAGCACTTCCCTGGGGACCCCGACCACTTATTAACTGTGAACGGTATAAAGTACACCACTTTTGCCGAAGCAGCCCGACAACGCGGCCTCTTTGAAGATAGTTCCGTTTGGGAGCGAACTTTAAGAGAGGGTTCCTATTCCTTAACTCCTTCCCAAATGCGCCAACTTTTCGTAAATATTCTTGTCTTCAGTTCCACAGATGATTGCGTCATAGATGCTCTGCATTTGTGGAACATGTTCATAGACCATTTCTTTGACCGACGTTGTACCGAAGATCAACGTCCTATTCGTATTGACCGGGCTCTGGCTATAATTGAAAGATATTTGCTTGCTAATGGCAAGTCAATGTCTGATTATGGTCTCCCACTTCCACATAATTCCCTCACTGACGACCCTGATACAGCTGTTGACCAGTTTTTCTTCCCCCAACATATAAATGATGATGATACCGACGCAACTGCCGATACATCATCATTAGTCAGTGCCACCCTTAACCCCGAACAAAATAATTTCTTTGATTTAATTCTTAATTCCATAAGAGATCCTAATTCCGCAAAACTTTATTTCTTATCTGGGGATGGGGGAACCGGGAAAACTTTCTTATTAAACTATTTACTCTTCCATTTAAGGCGGTTAGGTCACAAAGTCCTTGCAACAGCATCGACTGGGATCGCCGCTACAAAGTTTTATGCCGGTGGCATGACTTTACATTCCGCCCTCCGTTTTGGAATCAACCATCGTCCAGGTCAAATCCCCCAAATCCAATTCGGAAGCTATTTTGGCCGCCGAATAATCGAAAGCGATGTTATCATCATTGATGAAATAACTTTGCTGGAGATGACATTATTAGAAAATGTTGACCTTTTATTCCGGACCATGGTTCCTTCCAAAAGGGATATTCCTTTTGCTGGTAAAGTGGTAATCCTTTCTGGGGATTGGAAACAGTCACTCCCAGTAGTTAAAAATTGCTCCATTCCTGAAATGGCAGTACCCGTTTGTATTCAAAGTTCTTATCTTTATAAAATGTTTCTTAAAACCCGATTAATGCAAAATATGAGACTCCAACCCTCCGAGATTCAATTTAAAGAATGGCTTTATAATTTGGGTACTAACACCTCCGGGGATAAAATTGCCCTCCCTAAATCAATGATGGTAGAGACTCGTGATGAGTTAATATCTTTCGTCTTTGATCAAGGGTTTACTATTCATAGTAGTCAGCTTCTTACAAGATTAATGCTTGCCCCTACTAACAGATCCGTGGACCTTAATAATGACCTTATCCTTGCCTCCTTCAATAGTCAATCCCGAGACTATTATTCAGTAGACAGAAGTCTCACTGATGACCCGTTAGATCCATATGCCGCCCAGCAAGATGTTTCTTATATTAATAACTTAACCCCGTCCGGTCTCCCCGCCCACCACTTACACCTCAAAGTTGGTTCTGTAATTGTCCTTCTTATTAACCTTAACACAAGCAAAGGCTTGTGTAACGGTACTCGCCTAAAAATTATTGCACTTCGCGATCATTTAATAGAAGCCGAAACCATTTACGGCGTAAACCAAGGGGTAACTGTTGGGCTCTCCCGCGTCCGAATGCAACACCAGGACCCAGAACCAGATGGGGTTAGCTTCGTGCGCCTCCAATTCCCTGTCCGGACAGCCTTCTGCATGACTATCACAAAGGCCCAAGGCCAGACATGCGAGAGGTTGGGCATAGATTTCTCAGATGAACCCTTTGCCCACGGACAGCTTTATACCGCCCTCTCCCGGTGCACCAATAGTAATTTCATAAGAGTTTTTGCCCCCAACAAACCTAAGGATAATGATGGGAACACCCTTATTACAAATGTTGTAGCCCGTGGTCTACAGTTTGACTAAGTCAAATTGTAGTTTGACTAAGTCAAATTGTAGAACCCTTCTTATTATTGTAAATTCCCCCTGAGATTGCTTTTTCTTATTATTTCCTCCCCATTTACAGCCCAGTGAGGAGTATATGGTTCACTGTTGACCACCGTGCACCTCCACGCGGTGTACTCTGGACGTTTTTGTTACAAAAAACGACTGAGCACGGTTAAAAACAGAAAAAATCTTGTGTTCCTCGACATATTCTGTGGAGGACTGAAAATTTTTGGCCTCTAACTTTGAGGAAAAATTTTTTAAAAATAAACGGACAACGGATTCGTTATTCCCGCCTATTAAAACCTATTATAGCCGAAAATAAAAAAATTTTCTCGAAAAAAATTTTCCCAAAATTTTTCAAAGGGGTACCCCTTATGAAATAATTCCAAAAATTTTTAATCGGCCATAACTTTGTGAGTTTTGTACCGATTCAAACCAACTCAATATTATTAAATAGAGAAAAAAATTAGAAATTTTTTAATACACAAAAATTTCTGAGAAACTTAAGGTTAGGGGGTCTAAGGGTCGATTTTTTGAAAATTCAAAAATTTTCAGTTTTTTCAAAATTTAAAAGGGTATAACCAGTGGAAGTTTCTGATTATATTTTTAATAATTAAAGACTGATTTTACACCCATGCTAAACTTTAAATTATTCCAAAATCCCTATAACAAACGAAGTTATGATTTTTTGAAAATTTTTTTGAAAAAATCTGACAAAATTTTTGGCCGAAAACTTAAACTTTACCAAAAATTTTTAAAGCTGGCCAAATGATATATCAAATGAAAGCTTTCAGCGAGCTGAGTCTAAAAATAAAATCAGAAAAAATTTCTGACCATTTTGTACAAAGTTATGAGTGACCAAATCTTGGGTCTCCACAACTTCAGGCCAAGAGAGAAAATTTTTGGCCTCTAACTTGAAGGAAAAAATTTATAAAAATAAACGGGCAACGGATTCGTTATCCCCGCATATTAAAACCTATTATGACCGAAAATTAGAAAATTTTCTTGAAAAAAATTTTCCCAAAATTTTTCAAAGGGGTACCCTTATGAAATAATTCCAAAATTTTTTAATCGGCCATAACTTTGTGACTTTTTGTCCTATTCATATGAACTCAAAACTATTAAATAGAGAATAAAATTAGAAATTTTTTGATACTAAAAAATTTCTGAAAAACTTAAGGTTAAGGGGTCTAAGGTTCGATTTTTTGAAAAATCAAAAAATTTTCGTTTTTTCAAAATTTAAAGGGGTATAACCGGTCGAAGTCTCAGCTTATATTTTTAATAAATAGAGCCTGATTTTATACCCATGCTAAAACTTTAAATTCGTAAAAATACCTACAACTAACAAAGTTAGGATTTTTTAAAGTTTTTTTGAAAAAATCAACAAAATTTTTTGGCCAAAAACTTGAATTTTTAAAAAAAATTTTTAAAGTTGTCCAAATGATATATCAAATGAAAGCTCTCAGTGAGCTGAGTCTAAAAATACTATCGTAAAAAATTTCTGACCATTTTGTACAAAGTTATGAATTTTCAAATTTACCACCCCAGCCAATAAATTTTCTAGCCGCGCGCGAAGCGCGCCCCAAAGCCGTTAGGCTTTCCAACGGGCACCCCAAAATTTTACCGCCAGAGTATGCTATTTAGGCACCCAGCTATCCGCCGCCTGCAGCTATCCGCGCCACAACTAGTTATATATTATATAAAAAAAAGAGGGGGGTTCATTTTTCGCCATTTTGCCCACTGCCTCGTACAGAAGTCGTAGAGACTCGGGAGAGGTACCATTCGAAAGCGGAAGTATGATTTAGTCGGTAAAAAAAATATAAAAAGTCGGAAATTCCGGCGTTAAGAGGTCGAAATTCGACCTAGAAAGTGCGGGTCGCCATAAAGAATCAAAGATCTCAAGAACGGAAAGTGCTAGAGGGGTAGGGTTTTTTTTGTTAGAATTCTGTATGGCCGGGGCATATGGGAAAATTGCGTGCGAAAAAATTTTTAGCCTAAACCGAAGTCGAAATTCGAAGTCGAAATTTTCGAACATTTTTTTCGACCTCAGGTTTGGGGTAGAAAAAAAATTCTGGAAGCGTACCTCGGTGGTTTTATTCGTTATCTATCGAATAAAAAAAATTCCAGGGTTCTAACTGCAAACCCTGAAAAACGTATAAAGCCCGCTGAATCGACCTCGAAAAACCCCACTTCGTCACAAGTGGAATAACTTTTTAGGACTTCGGTTTAGGGATGAGATTTTTTTGGTAAGTTGTAGGGCTGGCGAGGACGCGTCGAATGACGTATAATTTGCCATAGGTAACGGGACCTTTAAAAAAATTATTTCCGAAAAACGAAATTTGAGGCCGAAATTTCGTGGTTTTTCGACTTCCACATCTGGAAGTCGAAATTTTTCGGAAAGAGGCTTTGGTATTCCGATAGATCTCGACGTCCTGCGTCGAATGAGCTATCTCACAAGTCTGGGAAAATTTTTTGGGCCGAGTTATGGGCCGGCAAAAAGTATCAATTTTTTTCATTTTTTGGGAAAAAAATTTTATTTTTTGCCGCAGTTACCCGTCCGATCTGGTAACTTAGGCATCGGTGATTTTTTTAATTTTCCAGTTGTTGATAGAATTGGGCCAAATCCGAGGACTTATAGGTTATCGACCACGGCGAATTTTTTAAAAAAATTTTTGAGGGGGTCAATTGAGTCTGGGTGGGTCAACTTGAGTCTCGAAAAAAAGGAGGTGGGTTCATCCTTTGAAATCAAAGATCTCGGGAATGGGAAGTGCTAGAGACCTGGTGTCTTTTTTATTCGAATTCTTAGTGCCTCGGGCATATGGGAAAATTGCCAGCGCACCTTTTTTCGACTTTTAAAAAGTCGAAATTCGAAGTCGAAATTTTGGAAAAATTTTTTCGACCTTAGGTTTGGGGCGAAAAAAAAATTTTGGAAGCGTAGCACCCTGAGATAGACCTTTATCTATCGAATAAAAAAAACCCCAGGTCGCTACGACCAAAAGAAAAAAATCGTATAAAGGAGAAGTAGGGGTAGGTCGAAAAACCCCACTTCGTCACAAGTGGAATAAATTTTTGGGGTTTCGGGTTACGGACGGCTTTTTTTCAGGAGGTTGTAGGGCTAATAATTACGCGTCGAATGACGCATAATTTGCCATAGGTAACGGGACCTTTAAAAAAGTTATTCCCGAAAAACGAAATTTTTTGTCAAAATTTCGATCTTTTTCGACTTTTTCAGTTTGAAGTCGAAAAGGTCCTGTTGCGTAGTTTAGTGATTCTTGTAGAGCTCGTCGTGACGCGTCGAATGAGCTTTAATACGTTTAATAAAAAATTCTTTGGGCCGAGTTATGGCCACGCAAAAAGTCAAAATTTTTGCATTTTTTGATTAAATTTAATTTGGGCATAGTTAACCGTCCGATCTGGGAAGTTAGGCATCGGTGAAGATACTAACTTTCCAGTGGGCAGTACGATAGGCCTAATTCCGACGACATACAGGTTATCGATGACGGCGAATTTTTTAAAAATATTTTTGAGGGGGACGCTTGAGTCTGGGGTTTCAAATATAGTCTGGGACAGAGGGGCATGCCGGGCGGTCCCGAAGGTTATCCTATGTTGTAGAGCGTTAAGTATGCTCGAGAAATATATATAATTTGTTGGGGTTACACTTGAGTCTCAAAAAGTTGTGGTCAATGTGCGCAAATGTCGCAAAATTTTTGAGACTCTAGCGTCTCGGAGAAATTTTTTTAAATTTTTTTGAGACCGGATAT